TCAGCTGGTTGGGAAAAATCTGTATCAGTCATTACCCTTGCTCAAGCCCAGACTGGGTCATCTGGCCACAGCAGGACATGCAGTGGGGGAACAGCAGCAGGCATGGAGCTGAGACAAGATTTCACTGTGCAGACAGTTTCCAGGAAGAGGCTGGGTCCGAAGCTGCATCTCTGTGTCCCAGGAGTACTTTTCAAAGCTTCCCCTGTCCTGGCCTCAAGCTCTAGGAGCTTTGAAAAAATGCTTGCATTTTGGGCCGGGCGGGGTGGCTCACGCCTATAATTCCGCACTTTGGGAGGCTGAGGTGGATGGATCACTTGAGGTCAGGAGTTTGAGACCAGCCTAGCCAACATGGTGAAACCCCATCTCTACTAAAAATACAAAAATTAACCTGGTGGTGGTGGCTCAGCACCTGTAATCCCAGCTACTTGGGAGGCTGAGGCAGGAGAATCGCTTGAGCCTGGGAGGCAGAGGTTACAGTGAGCTGAGATCACACCGCTGGACTCCAGCCTGGGTGACAGACAGATACACTGTCTCAAAAAAATAAATAAATAAATAAAAAATCCTCAAAAATAGGCTTGCATTTTGAATATATATCTATATCTATCTATATATTTTTTTATATCTGTAAAAGAAAAAATATTCAGGACTCTCTAAATTCATTATGCCATGTGGGGAGTTAAGCCCTGGAGACTGTCACATGGCATGTTTGCAACTTCTGCTTCTTAGGTTATAGTTGAACTCTCTTCCTCATTGCTCTTGTTCTGTAAATGACTGGGAGAGACCAGAGACCAAACCTCCTCCCCTTCCAATCACTAATCTTTGTTGTAGACGAACTGCCTCCTTTATTGTCCTGTGCCTGACTTAGACCGGGGCTCTTCCTGCTTCACTTTCTCTCTCTCTCCTGCTGCCGTGTAAGACATGCCTGCTTCCCCTTCCGCCATGATGGTAAGTTTCCTGAGGCCTTCCCAGTCATGCAGAACTGTGAGCCAATGAAACCTCTTTCAATTATAAATTATACACTCTCGGGTAGTATCTTTATAGCAGTGTGAAAACAGACTAATATACCTCTCTAATTTATCAATTTTGGACAATACCTTCTGACTCCTAAACAGGAAGATGAAGATTTAGCTCAAACATTCTACCTCTTCCCTCTCTGCCCTTTTCTCTCTTTTTATTTTTCATTGCTGCTTTAATGAGATATAATTCACAGGTCATAAAATTCACTCTGTTAAAGTGTACCATTCATTGGTTTTTAGTACACCTATTCACAAAGCTGTGCAACCATCTCTAAATCCACTGTGCACTATTCTCTACAACCAGAACATTTTTGTCCCTGCAAAAAAGAAACCCCTATCTTCATTAACAAGGACTCTTACTATTCCTTCCTGTCAACCCCTGGCATCCTCACCAATACTTGTTATTTGTCTGTCTGTTCTTCTTCTCCTACTCTTCTTCTCCTTCTTCCCCTCCTCCTCCTTCTTCTCCTTCTTTCTTTTTTCTTTTTCTTCTTCTTTTGAGATAGGGTCTCACTCTGTTGCCCAGGCTGAAGTGCAGTGTGATCACAGCTCACTGCCCTCAAAATTCTTAGGCTTCTTCTTCTTCTTTTGAGATAGGGTCTCACTCTGTTGCCCAGGCTGAAGTGCAGTGGCATGATCACAGCTCACTGCCCTCAAATTCTTGGGCTTCTTCTTCTTCTTTTGAGATAGGGTCTCACTCTGTTGCCCAGGCTGAAGTGCAGTGGCATGATCACAGCTCCACCGTCCTCAACCTCTTGGGCCTCTTCCCTTCTTTTGGAATAGGGTCTCATTCTGTGCCCAGGCTGGAAGTGCAGTGGCATGATCACAGATTCACTGTCCTCAACCTCTTGGGCCTCTCTTGCTGCTTTTGAGATGGGGTCTCATTCTGTTGCCCAGGCTGCAGTGCAGCTGGCATGATCATGGCTCTATGCCTCAGCATCTTGGGCCCAAGCAATCCTCTCACCTCAAACTCCCTCCTGGTCGCTGGGACCACAGATGCACACCACTATGCTGATTATTTTTAAAAAATTTGTAGAGATGAGGTTTGCTATGTTTCTGTTGCCCAGGCTGAAGTGCAATGGCATGATCATGGCTCACTGCCCTCAACATCTTGGGCCCAAGCAATCCTCTCACCTCAAACTCCCTCCTGAGTAGCTGGGACCACAGATGCACACCACTATGCCTGATTATTTTTAAAAAAATTTGTAGAGATGAGGTTTTGCTATGTTGCCTAGGCTTGTCTTAAACTCTTGGGCTCAAGTGATCCTCCTGCCTTGGCCTCCCAGAGTGCTGAGATTATAGGCCTGAGTTTCCTCACCTGGCTGTCTTTCTTCTTATAGCCATCACGATGGATGTAAAGTAGTGTCTAATTGTGGTTTTGATTTGTATATATCCCTAATTATTTTGAGCTTATTTTTTCAAAAGCTTATTGGTCATTTATATATTTTCTTTGGAGAAATGTCTCTACAAACCTTTCAGTCCTTTTTAAATGGGATTGCCTGTTTATTGTTGAGTTGTAAGAATTGTTTACATATTCTGGATACTAGACCCTTACAGATATATGATTGCATATATTTTCTCTCATTCTATGGGTTATCTTTTTATTTTCTTGAATGGTGTCCTTTACATGACCAAAGTTTAAATTTTTAAGGAAGTTCAATTTATTTTTTCTTTTGTCACTTGCACTTTTCGAGATGTTTCTAAGAAATTATTGCCTAATCCAAGGTCATGAAGATTTTTGACTCCTATGTTTTCTTCTACGATGTGTATAGTCTTTGCTCTTACATTTAGATCTTTGATAGGGATTGTGCTTAATTTGTGGACCAATATGGAGAGTTGGCATCTTAACAGTATTGTCTTCCAATCTGTGAATGTAGATTCCATTTATTTAGAATGTTAATTGCTTTCTTTCTTGATTTCTTTTTTTTTTTCTTTTTTTTCATAGAAGGATTTGCTCTCTCCTCCAGGCTGGAGTGCAGTGGCACAATCATAGCTCACTGCAGTCTCCAATTCCTGTTCTCAAGCAATCCTCCCGCCTCAGCCCTGAGTAGCTGGGACCACAGGCATGTGCCACCACACTCCACTAATTAAATTTTTTTTTTTTTTTGTAGAGACAGGGTCTTGCTATGTTGCCCAGGCTGGTCTTGAACTCCTGGCCTCAAGTGATCCTTCTATGTCAGATCCTTTTGAGATGGAGGAGTCTTGTTCTGTTGCCCAGGCTAGAGTGTGTGGTGTAATCTCGGCTCACTGCAGCCTCTGCCTCCCGGGTTCTAGCCATCCTCTTGCCTCAGCCTCCCAAGAAGCTGGGATTACAGGCGCCCACCATCTTGCCCAGCTAATTTTTGTATTTTCAGTAGAGACGGGGTTTCATCATGTTGGCCAGGCTGGTCTCAAACTCCTGACCTCACGTGACCTGCCTGCCTTGGCCTCCCAAAGTGCTGGGATTACAGGTATGAGCCACCGTGCCCAGCCTATAATCTTTTTTATATGGATTCAATTTGCTAGTATTTGATTTGCTAGTATTTGCTGGATTCAATTTGCTAGTTTGTAGAGTTTTTTGTGTATCTTCATAAGGTCTATTGGTATGTGATTTTCTAGTGATGCCTTTGTGTGGTTTTGGTACTAGGGAATACTGGTCTTACAGAATAGGCTGAGAAGTATTCCCTCCTGCTTTATTTTTTGGGAGAGCTTGTGAAGGATTGTTGTTAATTCTTCTTTAAACATTTGGTAGAATTCACCAGTGAATTCTAGGCCTGGGCTTCTGTGTGTGTGTGTGTGTGTGTGTGTGTGTGTGTGTGTGTGTGTGTAGAGGAAGGTTTTTGATTACTAATTCAATTTGCTTACTTGTTATAGGTATCCCCTTCCCCTTCCACTTTCCCTCCCCTCCCCCTCCCCTTCCCCTCCCCTTCCCCTCCCCTTCCCCTCCCCTTCCCCTCCCCCTCCCCTCCCCTTCCCCCTTCTCCCTCCTCCGCCTCCCTTCCTCCTCCTCCTCCCCCTTCCCCTCCTTCCCTCCCCCCTTTCTCTTCCCTCCCTCCCCCTCCCTCCTTCCTCTCCCCTTCCTCCCTCCTCCCTTTCCCTCCCTCCCTCCCTCCTCCTCCCCTCCCTCCTCCTCCTCCTCCCCCTTCTTTCTTCTTTCTTTTTAAAGCAGAGTCTTGCTCTATCACCCAGGCTTGAAAGCAAGAAGCCCACCCAGGCTGGAGTGCCGTGGCGCAGTCTTGGCTCACTGCAACCTCCACCTCCTGGGTTCAAGAGATTTTCTTGGCCTGCACGGTGGCTCACACCTGTAATCCCAGCACTTTGGGAGGCCGAGGAGGGTAGATCACCTAAGGTGGGAAGTTCGAGACCAGTCTGACCAACATGGTGAAACCCCGTCTCTACTAAAAATACAAAAAATTAGCTCGTTGTGGTGGCAGGCGCCTGTAATCCCAGCTACTTGGGAGACTGGGGCAGGAGAATGGCTTGAAGCCAGGAGGCAGAGGTTGCAGTAAGTCAAGATTCTGCCATTGTACTCCAGCCTGGGCAACAAGAAGGAAACTCCATCTCGAAAATAAATACATAAATAGTCCATTTTCAAGATATGATAAATCTGAGTACTGGCAGCCAGCCTGCGGATGGAACAAACCTGACGGCTCATGCACCTAGAAGGTCACAATAAGCGAACAGAATGTAGAGGAGGGGTCAGCCCATGAAAGGGAAGAAAGTTTCATGATTGGGAAATTGAAACTTTAGCAGGGAAGGGGACCTGGGTCTGACCTTCAAGGGGGATAATGAAACTTAGGTGACGGCCAGGAAGATTGTAACCCCATAGTACTAGACCAATGAGCAACTTGGGGAGGGACCGCGTGCTAGAAGATCAATTACCTGCTGTAGCTGCCCTGGCTGTGCCTGCCTACCAGACACCCCATCTTGCAAGACTGCCATTCAAAATCTCACTTCCGCCATTCTTCGTGTCTCTGAGTCCATTCTTTGGGTTTGAAGGAGTGAATATGTGTTTCCTCACACATGACGATTAGGTTTTCACTAGCATGTGTGAGAGTGCCTCCCTCAAAATGTGTTACGACATCAGGATGTTACCCATCTGACATGAAATAAAGAAAAATAAAATAAAATAAGAAATCAAAATATAAGCCTATTAAAAGTTAGAAAGGTGATGGATAGAATAATTGAAGTACTGTAATAATATAAATATCAACCATTAAGAGAGGGGGAAAAACTCAAGAAAGGATTCAAGAAGAAATAGAAAATCTGGCTGGGCACGGAGGCTCATGCCTGTAATCCCAGCACTTTGGGAGGCCGAGGCAGGTAGATCACTGCAGGCCTCCCAAAGTGCTGAGATTACAGGCATTAGCCACCATACCCGACCAAAAATGGACCATTTAAAATGTTTTCTCACATCATGCTAATGAACTGCAAAAGGATCTATTTTGATCTCTTGTATATACACTTTCCACAATTTCATTTGATCCTCCACTTTGTCAGACAAGGATATTTACACCCCATTTTTCCTCCTCTCCTCATCATAACGTCTATCAGTTTCACTTTTTAACTTTTTCACTTGTTAACATTTGCATTCTGTCTTGCCAACAAAACCAAGTCTTGGGTGCGATGTCTGCAGCGTGACTTTAAAAGTCAGAAACCCATGAACGGCTTCCCATTATGATGCCATTCTCAGGAGTGTTTGTTGCCTGGCCTGGTAGTGAGCTCTACACTATTTTTCCAAATGTGAAAAAAAAATCTGTCATATTCCACCAATTGCTTAACATTATGATACATTTCATTTGCTTCATTTGCAGGCCATTATTTCTTGTATATGCTTGTTTTTCCTAGAGTGTCTAATTGCCTTTCTTTTCCTTTTTTTCTTGCATGACTTGTGTTAATCCTTTTCTTAATTATTTTTTAAGCTCTCAATTATTCCATCTATTCTATTAAATCTCCTTTTTTCACCAGAGATCTTTCTCTGAGCACGCTCTGCCTTCCTGATCTAAACTGAATGGATGGTTGCTCACTAGCCTTTTTTTTTTTTTTTTTTTGAGACGGAGTCTTTCTCTGTCGCCCAGGCTAGAGTGCAGTGGCCCGATCTCAGCTCACTGCAAGCTCCACCTCCCGGGTTCATGCCATTCTCCTACCTCAGCTTCCCGAGTAGCTGGGACTACAGGCGCCTGCCACCACACCTGGCTACTTTTTTGTATTTTTAGTAGAGACGGGGTTTCACCGTGTTAGCCAGGATGGTCTTGATCTCCAGACCTCGTGATCCACCCGCCTCAGCCTCCCAAAGTGCTGGGATTACAGGCGTGAGCCACCATGCCTGGCCCCCCTTTTTTTTTTCTTTCTTGAGACAGGGTCTGGCTCTGTCTCCCAGGCTGGAATGCAATGGTATGGTCACTGCTTACTACAGCCTCGACCTCCTTGGACTCAAGCAATCCTCCTGATTCAGCCTCCTGTGTAACTGGGACTACAGGCTCATACCACTGCACGTGGCTAATTTTCGCATTTTAATTTTTAGTAGAGACAAGGTCTGGCTATGTTGCCCAAGTTGGTCTCAAATTCCTGAGCTCAAGCAATCCTCCCTCCTTAGCTTCCAAAAGTTCTGGGATTACAGGCGTGAGCCACCATACCTGGCTGCCAGCAGCTTTTTGAAAGCAATTTTCCCTCTGTCTTCTCTTATCCCCAGTCCTTACTCTCTCCTCAGGCAGGTCATCTCAGCTCCCCTGAACTCCAGTGTTTCCCTCTTTCCTGGTTAGTCTCTTTCTGAATCATCTCTTCTTCTGATTTTTACTCCTGTCATTATGGAATTTTGCTTTACCTCAGTTTTCCCATCTCTGAAAGTAGCCTAGATCTTTCTAGAATATAACTTCAGCAGAATTTGGAAGAAGGTGATGGGCTCATGTTGAAAATGTGCCTCAGAATGCCCAGAATGTGACATAAAATGAAGGGATTGATTTCCTTGTTAGTTTCTTCTGACTTTTCCCTGGTTTTGACTAATTATCCATCCTGCAGACAAGGTTAATTTTTGAATTTGATATCATTGTATGGGATTCAATCAGAAAAAAAGATAATTAAATTGCAATACAGTTAAGTCATAGTTTTCTTTCCCTAAAGTGGAAACATTAAGGATTTACTTCTTTAACATTAAAATTAATCCAAATATTGATAAGTCTATCAACAAGTTTTCAAGGGAGATAATTTAATGCATAATCCCTGCTGGGTGATTACTAAACACGAGGCTGCATATTCCAGGGCACAGAATTTGTGTTTGAATCAGGCGCTTCATTGGAAATATTTTGGCTTAATTCAACACATTTTTTAAACAGGAAAAACAAATTGAACGTGCAAATCTTCTTTGTAAAAAGGGGGAAAAATCATTTTATTATGGGCAGTAAATCAAGAAATCAAGTTCTTACATCTATGAGTCCTTAGGGGCAGACTGAAAAATCTCATGATATCTCACTTCATGTCATGAAGCACATGGTGGTGGGTTAAGTTTTAAATTTGCATGAAAAATTCAAGCAGGAAATAAATTAGGGTAAATTGAGGGATGTCAAAATCATATAAAAATTAAGATGAGGCCAGGCGCGGTGGCTGACGCCTGTAATCCCAGCACTTTGGGAGGCCGAGACGCATGGATCACGAGGTCAGGAGTTCGAGACTAGCCTGGACAACATGGTGAAACCCTGTCTCCACTAAAAATACAAAAAAATTAGCTGGGCAAAGTGGTGTGTGCCTGTAATCCCAGCTACTTGGGAGGCTGAGGCAGGAGAATTGCTTGAACCTGGGAGGCGGAGGGTGCAGTGAGCCAAGATTGCGCCACTACACTCCAGCAGCCTGGGCAATAAGAGCAAAACCCAGTAACACCCCCCGCCCAAAAAAAAAAAAAAGAAAAAAGAAAAAAATTAAGATGTTTGGCAACTTTTTAAAGTTTTTTTTTTTTTTTTTCTTTTTGAGACAAAGTCTCACTCTGTTGCCCAGGTTCTGTCTTGGCTCACTACAACCTCCGCCTCCCAGGTTCAAGCCATTCTCCTGCCTCAGCCTCTGAGATAGCAGGGATTACAGCGCAGCCACACTGGCTAAGTTTGTATTTTTAGCAGAGACGAGGGTTTTACTTTGTTGGCCAGGATGGTATTAACTCCTGACCTCAGGTGATCCACCCACCTCAGCCTACCAAAGTGCTGGGATTACAGGTGTGAGCCACTGCACCCAGCCTCGACTTTTAAGATTTTTAAGAAGTATTTTTGCCTGCATCAACGCAAACCTTTGGACATCTGTGCAAGTAACTATAAGAAAAATTACCAGTTCATCAAATGTTTGACTTGCCTGCCATTCTGTCATGTGGTAAATAAGGAAGAAAACCTCTCTCTTACCACCTTCCCAGATGAAATAGTTCATAGTTTTAGGCAAGTCGGCTGGGAGCTGTTTGTGAAGCAGAGCTAGGTACAGACAGATGCCATCCCAATGATAATGCCTATCATTTAGAACTTGAAATTGACAGCCGGGCGCAGTGGCTCACGCCTGTAATCAATCCCAGCACTTTGGGAGGACAAGGTGGGTGGATCACCTGAAGTCAGGAGTTTGAGACCAGCCTGACCAATACAGTGAAACCACGTCTCTACTAAATATACAAAAATTAGCCAGACGTGGTGGTGTGGGCCTGTAGTGCCAGCTATTCAGGAGGCTGAGACAGGAGAATTGCTTGAACCTGGGAGGTGGAGGTTGCAGTGAGCCGAGATTGCGCCATTGCACTCCAACCTGGGTGACAGAGCGAGACTCCATCTCAAAAAAAAAAAAAAAAAAAAAAAAGGAACTTGAAATTGACACATCATGGGCTTCCCCCCTTAATTTATAGTGCAATAAAAGCAGTAATAAATGTAGGTGCACTTCACCCTTGCAAAGAGTTACCATTTTTACGATTTTGACAAGTTCACACTCCTGGTTTTACCCTCGCACTATCCCAGGCTCAAGTATTTAATATTTAACAATCTGTATTCTATAAATAATAGATGTGCCTGTCCTCACAGCTGAAGATCAGGAGCAGATTTTATTGTTGACAAGAGTGATAATGTTCTCTCACCTGCTTAACTTTTTATGTTACTGTTAATTTCCCCTTTGTGGCCAAGCATCCAGGTGGGGGGGGTTTGGGTCATTCTGGAGAGAAATGGGTTATAATAAGGCACCTGGAACCAAGCATTTGGAGAAGCGTGGATAACTCTATGTTCATTTCAGCAGTCTGAGGTCACAGACTCATGCAAATGCTGGAGCTGGATGGAGTCATCCTCCGACTTCCTATGACAGTGAGGCAGCTGCAGGTCTCTATCCAACAAACACTGGGCTAATGCCTACTAAGTGCAAAGAAGACCCTGTGGGGCAGTTGTCTGTGAAGGGATTTGGCCAAGGTCAGACGGCTAATTCTTGGTAGAGTGAGTGAAATTCAATTCAGTTCAATAAATGGTTGGAAAACATCAAGAAACAGAGTCCTGCCTGGGCACGGTGGCTCACACCTACAACCCCAGCACTTTGGGCAGCTGAGACAGGAAGGCTGCTTGAGCCCAGGAGTTCAAGACCACCCTGGGCAATATAGATAGACCTCATATCTACACAGATCTTTTTAAAAATTAGCTGAGCGTGTGGCACACACCTATAATCACAGCTTCTCAGAAGACTGAGGTAGGAGGATTGTTTGAGCCGGGGAGGTCGAGACTGCAGTGAACCAGATCACACCACTGTACTCCAGCCTGGGCAACAGAGGAAGAGCCTATTAGGAAAAAAAAAAAAAAAGGCCGGGCGCGGTGGCTCAAGCCTGTAATCCCAGCACTTTGGGAGACTGAGGTGGGCAGATCACGAGGTCAGGATATCGAGACCATCCTGGCTAACACGGTGAAACCCCGTCTCTACTAAAAAATACAAAAAACTAGCCGGGCGAGGTGGCGGGCGCCTGTAGTCCCAGCTACTCGGGAGGCTGAGGCAGGAGAATGGCGTAAACCCGGGAGGCGGAGCTTGCAGTGAGCTGAGATTCGGCCACTGCACTCCAGCCTGGGCGACAGAGCGAGACTCCGTCTCAAAAAAAAGAAAGAAAAAGAAACAGAGTCCTGG